AGGAGGATCTCTTATAAATTTTATCTAATGCTAATTAGATAATTATTGATGATGATGACTCATCATCAATATTTAAGAAACTCTCGGATAGGCTTAAGAAAGAGTAAATTAAAGATTGTGTGCCATATCTCTAATCATTTAAATATTAAGATCAAAAGGAGAAGGAGTAAATTAAAAGGATAATTAATATATTGAAGAATTTAAAGGAACATGAATTTAATCAGAAAGACTATTCCTAGGAAGTATTTGAAGAGATTAAAAAGGAACTGATGAGTAAGATATAAGGTGAGAAGAGCATGATTGAGTTACTAAAATTCTTAGTCATGCTTACAAGTGTAGATGATCAATTCATCTCCTGTGGATCCAATTCACTTCATATGCTGGTAATGTTGAAGGTAGATATGAGAAACTAATCCTTTGAGAATATACGGATCAAGAATACATCTTTGATTGGTGGTAACTTTGTACGATGTAATTTCAATGGATCAGAATTTGAGAATGTAGATATTAGCGGAGTCAATTTTAATGGAGCTTAGATGTTCAATTGTAAATGGAAGAACATAAAAGTCCATGAATTGAATAAGTTGGATGGTCATAGTAGTTGGGTTAGATCAGTCTGTTTTTCTCCTGATGGAAATACATTAGCTTCTGGTAGTGGTGATAACTCTATCCGTCTATGGGATGTCAAAACAGGATAATAAAAAGCCAAATTAGATGGTCATGAGCATTATGTTATGTNAAGCCAAATTAGAAGGTCATAGTGGTACTGTCTACTCAGTCAGTTTCTCACCAGATGGAAGTACTTTAGCTTCTGGAAGTGACGATACCTCTATTCGTCTTTGGAATGTCAAAACAGGATAATAAAAAGACAAATTAGAAGATCATAGTGGTACTGTCTTCTCAGTCTGTTTCTCACCAGATGGAAATGCATTAGCATCTGGTAGTAGGGATAAGTCTATCCGTCTTTGGGATGTCAAAACAGGATAATTAAAAGTCAAAATAGATGGTCATAGTAATTTAGTTTGCTCAGTCTGTTTTTCTCCTGATGGAAATGCATTAGCCTCAGGTAGTTAAGATAACTCTATATGTCTTTGGGATTACAAAACATCAAAGGAAATACACTAAATAGATACAAGTTACTAAGATCTTCTTATCTATTTTTAAACATCACTTAAGAATAGCTTATCATTACCAAATGGTATTTATTATTTATTTTTTAGTTGATCCAGATCGTACAATACTTAGAATTTGTTAGAATCCTTAACTAGAAGCATAAAGAACACTTATCTTATAAGGAGAATTTATCAACCATTAAGGAAAAGATTTGAAACCTTTATTAAAATCTAAAGGAAGTTATTTTTTAGACGACCTAAAGCTCAAATGAATTTGATAATTTATCAACAGCAATTATAATTACAATCAATTTCTAATAATTTTTTTATTCTTTTGTTATTAGTTTCACTCTTCATCTTCACTTTCAAAGCTAAATAAGGAAGTATATTTTTTAAGATTTATTCCATTTCAGTCAATTACACATCACATCTATTTATATATTATTAGAAATATATGGTCAGTTTGGTGTAGGGAATAATTCTTTAGATGTCATAAAAATTGTTATCAATTAATATTTCTTGAGATTTAATTTTGATTGATACTACATTCAACTAATACTTTAAACAGAGAACATTAGATGAAGATTTAAAATAATGATCAAAATAATTACTTAAAGAAAAAAAATTTAACACAAATTCTTTTCTATAATCATCAAGGATATTATATGATAGATTGACTTAATGTATTACACGTTTAAAAGTAGGATTAATCTTAAAAATTATTATTAACGTTTCATATTTCAACCTTAAACTTATACCTGAAAAAATTAAAGATAATCAAGAAAAATTAATGAATTAATCTAAAAACTCAAAATTTGTATAAATTAAAATAGTCATATAAAATAAAAATATTCTATATTATTAAAAAATCTAATGCAGTTGTTGAAATAAATTCTTAATTGCATCATTTACATCTATTACAATTAATTTCAAATCTAAACAAAGTCCTAACTTTATTTTACAAAAATACACAAGATAGTTTTATCGATTTTGTAGTGTCTAACTTCAAATTAGACTAATAGAAATTCAATATTAAAAATAATGAATTGCACTTATCATATCAAATTCCAATATCTTTGATATGTATTGCTCCTCACAAGTGCTAAAGAAAACTTTGTGTAGAATGCCAATATGACCATGGAGTGGATCTCAAACAAACAGTTCCGATTTTTAAATTTCAAGAAATTGCAATGAAGAAATTACAAGACTCCAAGCTAAATGATACATCTGACTAACTAAATAGAGATTGGCCTTTAAGACCTTACTCTCTCAAACAGAATAAATGATGAAGAAAATTTGGGATGAGTTGTCACAATCAATCAAATAAGTTTACGATTGGATTGAAAAGGAGAACTAATCATACTTTAACATCATCAACGAAAATACTAATCTAGCTGAATCCTCTTACACAGACTTGGAAAAATTAGTAAATATTGTAGAAGGATCAAATTTAAATAATTGGAATGCTTAGAAAATTCTTTATTGAAGGAGTTGGATTAGACCAAGAGTTGATGAGACCAGCTTATTAAGGCTTTTGTTGAAAAGCCAAAGGAAGGAATCCGATAGATTCAATAATCAATTGAGTAAGTATTTAAATCATATCTCTAGGAAAGAAGAAGTTTACTAAATGAAAGAAGATCTTTTTGAAATACTAACTTACATCCAGGATATAGATGAATCTCTCTATTAAAAGATTCTTGAAATACTTAGAAGAGAGAAAGTTTTAGATGTCCTTAAATTCCTTTCGAATAAAAACAATCAAAACTTTTATGAATCTTTAAGCAACAAGCAATAGAATATCAAAGATGTAAAGAAGTAAATAATGAAAATAACTAATGTTTTGAGGAATATTTAGGATCATAAATTTAATAAATATGACTATTCTTAAGAGACAAATGAAAAAGAAAGACTAAATCTAATTAATAGGATGAAGAATAATAAGGGAATCATAGATTTTATCAGGTTTTTAGTTCTCCTCACAAGCATAGACGGTAAATTTATTTAAAGTGGATCTAATGGATTGAATTTATGTGTAGGAATGAAGGTAGATATTCGGAACAAATCCTTTGAGAATATCAGAATCAAGAATACTTCTTTAATTGGAGGAAATTTTGTAAGATGTAACTTAAGTGGATCTGAGTTTGAGAATGTGGATATCAGTGGAGTCAATTTTATGGTGCTTAACTATTCAATTGCAAATGGAAGAACTTGAAAATCAATTAGTTGAATAAATTGTAAGGTCATAATGGACCTGTTAGATGGTCATTTGTCTGCTGTCTTATCAGTCTGTTTCTCTCCTGATGGAAATACATAAGCTTCTGGTAGTAGTGATAAGTCTATCCGTCTTTGGGATGTCAAAAAATCAAAGGAAATAGACTAAATAGAAACTCGTTACAAAAATCTTCTTACTTAGTTTTAAATACCGCTTAAGAATAGCTCATTATTACCAAATGGTATTGATTATATATTATTATTTAGTTAATCCTGATCGTACAATACTTAGAATTTGTTAAAATCCTGTATTAGAAGCATCAGGTACACTTATAATGTAAGGAGAATTAATAGATCATTAAGGAAAAAATTTAAAACCTTTATTTAAATCTAAAGGAAGTTGCTTTTTAGAAGACTTATAGCAAAAATGAATTTTATAATTTATCAACAACAACAAAAATACAATAACAATCAATATCTAATATTTTGTTTATTCTGTCTTATTAGTTTCACTCTTCATCTTTACTTCTAAAACTAGGTAAGTTCTTATTTTTCAAAGTTTTATTCCATTTCAGTTATATATACACTAAACTTATTTTAATATTGTTAAAATATATGTTCTGTGTAGTGTAGGGAATAATTATGGAGAAGTCATAAAAACTGTTACCTATTAATATTTATAGAGATTTAATTATAAATGATACTAAATTAAATTAATAATCTAAACAGATAACAGTAAGCACAATGAAGAGATCAAAATAAAGAGTGATAGAATTACTGAAAGAAAACTAATTTAAAACAACATTCTTTTAAAACTTATTTAGAAGTGGGAATAGTCTTAAAATTAATTTATATTAATTAATTTTAAGAAAATCTATTGAACAAATTGAAGAGGAAGAAAAAGGTATCAATAATTGTTATATTTACAAAATTGTTAGTTGATAGTGAAAATACTTTAGTTTTTCATGTTAATAAAGGAATTAAATGGTTCAATATTAGATTAATTGGATAATTATGTATATAAAAAGCAGGAAATATATAATATCTAGTTTTATGATTCATCAATTTTTTCAATAATGCTGTTCATTTTTCATTGACTTTAATAATTAAGGATGATAAATAATTTTAAGTCCTAAATAAAAAAAACTTAGCTTATATTCATGATTTAGAGTTGTAGTATAAAAATAATTTAATATCCCAAAAATTATTTCTTATTCTTTATTTCTTAAATGCAGCAACTTTTATCAAACTAAAGTTCCTAAAATTAGTCTGGTATTATACTTCTAACTGATAAAAAGGTTTCCTCATCTTCTCCAAATGAAGTAAGGTTAGGTTAAAGTTAGGCCTCGTGAATATCTTATAATTTATTCTATATTTGAATATATTATTTGAATAAATATGTTCTTCAGGAAAAATAGGCAAGAAGGTTTTTTTCGAAGTAAATCAGTATTCCATGAAATTTTTTTATTTTTTTTGTTATTAATTTAAAATTACTCATCCAAACCTCTGAATTGATATCTATATTTCTAGTCCTCTTAGTTTAATTAATTTAAAAAAATATTTTCTAATTTATTATATAAAAATGATATTTAATTACTTTTTGGTTGGCAGCAAAGTTAGTAAATAATAGAAATTAACGTCAGTTATCGAAATAGGCTTATTTTGCTTAAAGTCTCAACAAAAATATTTTATTTGTCTATTTATTTTTGTATTAAGTATTAAGATCAGAAATATTAGAATTCCACACTAATATCTAATTGGCAACGAATTATTTGTAACAACTCCAAAAATAACTGAATTATGTCGCCTAGTGTAATTCATTATTTAAATATTTGCTTATTAGTTTTTATTTTTTTTTGTGATTCTAGATGAATAAATTATATATTAGTTATTCATTTATTTGTAATGGCTTTTATTATATGGATAACAAAAAAACAGATAATTCCTGTTAATTAGAATTGAAGGTCAAAGTTTTACTATATTTTTCACAACCATATATAATTTGAATGATTGAACAAGTTATAATCTGCTATGATAAAGCGATTCTACTTGATTCAAATTATATACAGTGCTATATCGAAAAAAGTTTTATTTTAAATATCATTTAGTAATTTATCACTTTTCAAATATTTTAAAAAATAGGAGAATTGATTTAAATCTCCTAAGCCCTATAAACTTATTACATAACATTAACATTAAGCCATCCATTAAGCCATCCTTCTAAAATTCTATTTCTCAAAAAGTTCTCAAACCTAGAGCACTACAATTACTATGTGCTGAAAGCAATTTATTTTAATATATTAAGATGGTTATTTTTTTTTAAATATCAAAGAATGAAAAACTCTTACCTATTCTTTAATTTGTATCTTCTAATAATATTAAACGTTAGCTTACCTATATTTACTATCTTCTAATCACCTATTTTCTTCGACAATAATTTCTCCTGTAACAAAAATGAAATGCTTTGTGGATTTCTTTTTTTAATTATACTCAATTAAATTTAGTCGTCTTCTCATTAATATTGTATTATTTATTTTGTTTTCGTTGAAAAAATTTATTATATTAAGACAACAATTTTAATTATATTTCTTTTCATATCTAGATTAAATTCCTTCTATTTCGAAAATTACTAAAGAGTTAACTTGCACAAACAATTTTCATTCATTTAGCATATTTTACTACTCAAAAGTAAAATACATGTAAAGTATTTCAAATAAAAAATTAAATAAGAAAATGAGAATTAATTTTAAGATTTTTAAATTTATTGATCTTGTTGAGAGATTTCTCTATTTATACTTTTAAGAAATAGTAATTTCCACATATAAATTATTTAAAAAATTAAGCAGTGATCAACCAAATTAAATTATTAACAATAAACAAGTTATTCTATATTATTAAAGAATCAACCAATGCAAATGCTGAAATGATTTCTTAATAGCATATTTTACATCAATTACAGTCAATTCCAAATCTCTACAAAGTTTAGACTTCTATTTTAAAAAAATGCCCAAGATACTTTTATCGATTTGCAGTATTTAACTTAAATTAGAGTAAAATAATGTAATAATTTATTTAAAAATAAAAAATGAGTGATCAAAATGAACATCACGAAGATCTTTAATAGATTTTAGCTAAAGTTAAGGATGTGGATGAATCAAAATACCATTTGATAATTGAAATGTTGAGAAAAGAAAAAATTTCAGATTGCATAGAATTTCTGTTAAAAGTTGATTCAAAGATGCATAAGACTGATTAAGTAAATAAAAACTTTCAACTAATTGCAGAAATTGCCAAAAAAATAAAAAATCATAATTTTAATAAATATAATTATAATGAAGAAATCTACTTTGATGAGCAACAAAAAATAATATAAATAATATAAAAAAATACATAAGATTCGAAAATCATTCCATTTTTAAAATTTTTAGTCCTTCTTACAGCGATAGATAAAACTTTAGTGTAATGTGGGTCAAATTCGTTAAATTTATTAGTGAAGATGAAGGTGGACCTTCGAAACTAAAATTTTGAAAATATTAGAATTGAAAATACATCCTTAGTGGGAGCCAATTTTGTTAAATGCAACTTAAGTGGATCAGAATTTTAGAATTTAGACATAAGTGGTATGAATTTGAATGGAGCAAAGTTATTTAATTGTAAATGGAACAATTTGAAAATACATGAATTGAATAAACTAGACGGCCATACTTGGTCAGTTCTCTCAGTATGTTTCTCTCCTGATGGAACTATGTTAGCTTCTGGAAGTCGGCGTTAGCCTATTTGCTTATGGGATTTTAGGACAGGATAATAAAAGGCCTAGCTGTATGGTCATAGTGAGTATGTCTACTCGGTCTGCTTCTCTTCAGATGGGGCTACATTAGCATCTGGTAGCGCAGATAATTCTATTTGTATATGGGATGTTAAGACAAGTCAATTAAAAGCTAAATTGTTTGGCCATACCTGGGCAGTCTACTCGGTCTGCTTTTCTTCTGATGGAACTACATTAGCATCTGGTAGTCATGATAGCTCTATATGTTTATGGGATGTAAAAACAAGAAAAAAAATAGCAAAATTATAAAATATAGGTTATCAAATTAAATCAGTATGCTTCTCTCCTGATGGAACTATTTTAGCATTTTGTAGTCGTAATGGAGATATCCGCTTATGGAATGTTAAGACAGGATAATAAAAGGCAAAGTTGGGTGATTTTAGTACTTCAAATATCAATTCAGTTTGCTTCTCTCCAGATGGAAATACATTAGCATCTGGTAGTGAGGATGGCTCGATCAGCTTATGGAATGTTAAGACTAGTAATGAATGGGCCATATTGTATGGTCACCTTAATGAAGTCTACTCGGTATCATTCTCTAATGATGGAACTCTGTTAGCATCTGGCAGTAAGGATAAATCTATCCTTTTATGGAATGTCAAGACAGGTGAATAAAAGGCCAAATTTGTCGGTCATGCTTGGTCAGTCTACTCAGTATGCTTTTCTCCTGATGGATATATATTAGCATCTGGTGGACATAACTCTATCCGTATATGGGATCTGAAGACAGGATAAAAATAGAATGAAGTAGATGGTCACAGCCTATTTGTCTCGTCAGTTTGCTTCTCTTCTGATGGTGCAACATTAGCATCTGGTAGTTATGATAACTCTATACGTTTATGGGATGTAAAGACAGGAAAATAAAAAGCCAAGTTAGATGGTCATGTCAATGGAGTACGTTCAGTTAAATTTTCACCTGATAGTAATGTATTAGCTTCTGGGAGTTTGGATAACTCTATCAAGTTATGGGATGTTAAGACAAGAAAAGAAAAGGCTCAATTGCACGGACATTCAAGCGGAATCTTATCAGTTTGCTTTTCTCCTGATGGTACTACATTAGCATCTGGAAGTTTAGATTGCTCTATCCGTTTGTGGAATGTTAAGACAGGATAATAAAAGTTTAAATTAAATGGTTATTATGGATGTGCTTATTCAATAAGTTTTTCTCCTGATGGTAAGAAATTAGCAAGTGGCAATAGTGATAGGTTAACCTATATATGGGATGTACGGACAGGATAATAATTGGCCTAATTAAAAGGTCATGATGATTGGGTATCATCAGTATGCTTCTCTCCTGATGGAAATACTGTAGCATCAGGGGGTAGGGGTGATGTCTTGTTGTGGGATATTAAAACAGGATAATAACGAGCCCATTTTGATCATAATAGATATGTCTTATCAGTATGCTTTTCTCCTGATGGTAATACATTAGCAATTGGTGCTTAGGATAACTATATCCATTTATTGGATAGTCGAACAGGAAAAAAAAAAGCCAAATTATCTGGTCATTCGAATTTTGTAAATTCAGTTTGCTTCTCTCCTGATGGTTCAACATTAGCATCAGGTAGTGATGATAACTCTATTCGTTTATGGGATCTTTAACTAAAACCATAAAAAGTAAAATTGTATGGTCACACTAATTATGTCCAATCGTTGTGCTACTCTCCTGATGGTACAGCATTAGCATCTTGTGGTTGGGACAAGTCTATCAGATTATGGTAAGTCAAGACAAAATAATAAAGAGCCAAATTGGATGGTCACAGTAATACTGTCTCTTCACTCTGCTTCTCCCCTGATGGTGAAACATTAGCATCTGGTAGTTATGATAACTCTATACGTTTATGGGATGTAAAGACAGGAAAATAAAAGTTGAAATTTTAAAGTCACTAAAATTTAGTTAGTACAGTAGGGATCTCTTTTGATGGCAGTATTTTAGCATCAGGAGGTTTTGATAATTCTATCCGCTGTTGGGATATGAAGACAGGTTAATAATTAGCCAAACTCTATGGTCATACTAGTAATGTAATGTCAATATGCTTCTCTCCAGATTCATTATTATTAGCATCTGGAAGTAAAGATAAGTCTATCCGTTTATGGGATATTAAAAGAGCATAATAAAAAATCAAATTAGATGGTCATTTGAATTTTGTGAATTCAGTTTGCTTCTCTCCTGATGGTACTACATTAGCATCTGCGAGTAGTGATAAGTCTATCATTTTATGGAATGTTAAGACAGGGTAATAAAAGGCTTAGTTGGATGGTCATACGAGCGGAATCCTATCTGTCTGTTTCTCTCATAATGGTACTACTTTAGCATCTGGTGGTGAGGATGGCTCAATCCGTTTATGGGATGTTAAGACAGGAAAATAACAAGCCCAACTAGATGGCCATAATAATTGGGTTCTATCAGTATGCTTTTCTCCTGATGGAACTACATTAGCATCTGGCAGTAGTGATAATTCTATCAGCTTATGGGATGTTAAGGATATTCTCAATCAGTATTAATCCCCGCTATTGTAAAACCGATCTTTAGATTTTGAAGAGGATTGTGGTAGTATTTAGACAAATTCAGTAAACTCTTACATAACTATACTACTTATATCACAATAGCCACTTCTTCAAACGTAAGGAACAAAAATACATAATGGAGAGTTTGTAAATTATTAAGGGCTAGATTTACTTTAGTTATTTTAATCTAAAGGATGTTGCATTTTTCAAAGCTAACCAGAATTAAAACAGAAATGATATTTATTTAATAATGACCTAATGTCGTAAATCANTCAGTATGCTTCTCTCCTGATGGAAATACTGTAGCATCAGGGGGTAGGGGTGATGTCTTGTTGTGGGATATTAAAACAGGATAATAACGAGCCCATTTTGATCATAATAGATATGTCTTATCAGTATGCTTTTCTCCTGATGGTAATACATTAGCAATTGGTGCTTAGGATAACTATATCCATTTATTGGATAGTCGAACAGGAAAAAAAAAAGCCAAATTATCTGGTCATTCGAATTTTGTAAATTCAGTTTGCTTCTCTCCTGATGGTTCAACATTAGCATCAGGTAGTGATGATAACTCTATTCGTTTATGGGATCTTTAACTAAAACCATAAAAAGTAAAATTGTATGGTCACACTAATTATGTCCAATCGTTGTGCTACTCTCCTGATGGTACAGCATTAGCATCTTGTGGTTGGGACAAGTCTATCAGATTATGGTAAGTCAAGACAAAATAATAAAGAGCCAAATTGGATGGTCACAGTAATACTGTCTCTTCACTCTGCTTCTCCCCTGATGGTGAAACATTAGCATCTGGTAGTTATGATAACTCTATACGTTTATGGGATGTAAAGACAGGAAAATAAAAGTTGAAATTTTAAAGTCACTAAAATTTAGTTAGTACAGTAGGGATCTCTTTTGATGGCAGTATTTTAGCATCAGGAGGTTTTGATAATTCTATCCGCTGTTGGGATATGAAGACAGGTTAATAATTAGCCAAACTCTATGGTCATACTAGTAATGTAATGTCAATATGCTTCTCTCCAGATTCATTATTATTAGCATCTGGAAGTAAAGATAAGTCTATCCGTTTATGGGATATTAAAAGAGCATAATAAAAAATCAAATTAGATGGTCATTTGAATTTTGTGAATTCAGTTTGCTTCTCTCCTGATGGTACTACATTAGCATCTGCGAGTAGTGATAAGTCTATCATTTTATGGAATGTTAAGACAGGGTAATAAAAGGCTTAGTTGGATGGTCATACGAGCGGAATCCTATCTGTCTGTTTCTCTCATAATGGTACTACTTTAGCATCTGGTGGTGAGGATGGCTCAATCCGTTTATGGGATGTTAAGACAGGAAAATAACAAGCCCAACTAGATGGCCATAATAATTGGGTTCTATCAGTATGCTTTTCTCCTGATGGAACTACATTAGCATCTGGCAGTAGTGATAATTCTATCAGCTTATGGGATGTTAAGGATATTCTCAATCAGTATTAATCCCCGCTATTGTAAAACCGATCTTTAGATTTTGAAGAGGATTGTGGTAGTATTTAGACAAATTCAGTAAACTCTTACATAACTATACTACTTATATCACAATAGCCACTTCTTCAAACGTAAGGAACAAAAATACATAATGGAGAGTTTGTAAATTATTAAGGGCTAGATTTACTTTAGTTATTTTAATCTAAAGGATGTTGCATTTTTCAAAGCTAACCAGAATTAAAACAGAAATGATATTTATTTAATAATGACCTAATGTCGTAAATCATTTATCTTTTCATTATTCTTCTTATATTAAATTTAAAAATTCTGATCTAAACTTATTTATCAGTTAATGTTTCCTTAACAGTTGTTCATTAATTTAGAAAAAATCAATTAATTGAATAAAGCCTAATCAAATTAAATTCATTGAATAAGATATTAATTGAACAAACTGAATATGGAAATAAATGGGAAATGATATTGGTAATATGTATGTATATGAAAGTTATAAAATTCTAATTCAACAAATAATAAAATATATTAATTTTTTTTACATCTTTAATATTTAATTTTTATGAATATTATTAAATTCTATAAAAAGAAATTCAGTTTTGCTACATGACATAGTGTTTTAGTAACTTCAAATTGTATAATATTCAATCTGATTTTCCTTATTAAAATATTTTTATTTTATCCTCAAATAATTCCAAAACTTCAGAATAATTCTGTCTCAAAACAAGTAGCAAATCCCAGCCCAATTCCCTATTTCAGATGTATGTATAAAAGCAACTTTTCTTTTTTCATCAAGTTACTTGGCAACTTTTATATATAGGACAATTCAATTTAACTTTTTATTCCCTGTTTTGGCATTCCATAAACGGATATACTAATCATAACTCCCAGAAGCTAATGAATTTCCATCAGGAGAAAAGCATACTGAGTAGACTGGATAAGCATGACCAACTAATTTGGCCTTTTATTCGCCTGTCTTAACAACCCATAGACGGATAGATTTATCCTTACTGCCAGATGCTATTAGAGTTCCATTAGGAGAGAAACAAACTATATAAAAAATATCACTATGATCATCAATCGAAAAAATTATTTCCAATTACCATCAAACGATTCAGCACCACCTAAATTAATTCCATTGATATTGACTTAAAAAATTTAGATTTTGATAAATTGCATTAAGCAAAATTACCTCCAATTAAAGAAGTATTTTAAGTTTAAATATTTTCAAAATTTTAGTTTATTAGATCAGCATTCATTTCCAACAATATACTAAATGCATTAGATTCACATATTATGAATTTATTATCTTTCTTAGTTAAATGAACTAAGAATTTTAAATATTATATAATCCTAACCTCTTATGATATTTTTGAAATGAGGTATTATCTTGCTTCAGCATAAATTTTAGTGGAATAATCAATTGAATTAACATCGTATTCTTTTATGATTTCGATTAAGCTTGTAGTAAAAGTATCTAGTTATTTTTATTTTGAAATAATGATTTGTTATCAACTTAATGATAATTCTTGGAATATTGTTATTTATAAAAACTTTAGGTAATCCTAATCTTGATTTCATTCATTTGACGACATTTCGATTAAAGTATTCAATATCTTTATATCAAAATCTTTTGATTAAACCAATACTTGATAAAAATTAGCTGCAATAAAGAATGTTTATATAGGTTTGTGGACAAATTAAAAGTTGGCACCTTTTTATTAAACAAGCAAACAACTTTTTATATCTTTTTGATAAGCTCCATATTAATCATAATAATTAAAAAATTCATTTCGCCATGATTCTTCTCTTTTTTCATATAAAAATCCTTGATACTTATATTCAACTAATGTATTTCATTCTTACTCATTATTTTTGCCAATCTTATTGAGTATTCTATAATCTCTTGCAGAAAACGATCAGAATCTATAGATTTTCCTCAGTTTCTCTGTTTTTCGATTTATTTCAAATGGTAATAATTGATAAACTCAAAATAAAAATCATAAATTGTAAGATTGTATTCTATTAATGCATCAAAAACAATTTTGATTATTCTTTCATTTTTAATTTTTGCTTTTTTTATTTGGTAGATATTTACAAATATTAAGGAATAGAATTTTTTTCAAAAATATTCCAAAACTTGAAAAGCAATTTAATATTAATTAATAATTTCCAAGTCGCATAAATCTTTCTGAGTGTGGTTGAAAACATTATTTAAGTTTTTCTCCCCTTTTTAGTATATTTTTTTAATTTAACTTCCTAGTAATCATGAGAATCAAATTATATTTCGGCTTAAGATTCTTTATTAACTTGATTTTTTAATCTGTTGCAATTTATACATCTGAATCCTTTATTTACTTCTGAGTAACTCTTTCAACATCTTTGTACCAATCTTTCTTCAAAATCTACAACTATAGACTTATTAAGTTTTAATTTCTCTTTAAATTTCTAACTCTTTAATCTTTTTCTAAAACCCATAGTTAAATTAGAGCTTTTTAACAAAACAGAGTAATTGTTTTTGTGAAGCTATTTAATGAAATCAAAAATTATTGTTATTACTAAACCCTCTCTAATTTTCCATTCATTGTTTTTTATAAATCGATAGAGGATTAATCCCATTTATTTGATTTCAATTCATATTCCATATCGCTTTCTTGTAGGTGTTTTTTTTACCTAATTGAACTAGATGCTCTTGATCAAACTAAATTTCTCAGAATTTCAACATAGACATTATTAACTTTTCTTTGTTTCAGCCCTTAACTTANCTTGCTTCAGCATAAATTTTAGTGGAATAATCAATTGAATTAACATCGTATTCTTTTATGATTTCGATTAAGCTTGTAGTAAAAGTATCTAGTTATTTTTATTTTGAAATAATGATTTGTTATCAACTTAATGATAATTCTTGGAATATTGTTATTTATAAAAACTTTAGGTAATCCTAATCTTGATTTCATTCATTTGACGACATTTCGATTAAAGTATTCAATATCTTTATATCAAAATCTTTTGATTAAACCAATACTTGATAAAAATTAGCTGCAATAAAGAATGTTTATATAGGTTTGTGGACAAATTAAAAGTTGGCACCTTTTTATTAAACAAGCAAACAACTTTTTATATCTTTTTGATAAGCTCCATATTAATCATAATAATTAAAAAATTCATTTCGCCATGATTCTTCTCTTTTTTCATATAAAAATCCTTGATACTTATATTCAACTAATGTATTTCATTCTTACTCATTATTTTTGCCAATCTTATTGAGTATTCTATAATCTCTTGCAGAAAACGATCAGAATCTATAGATTTTCCTCAGTTTCTCTGTTTTTCGATTTATTTCAAATGGTAATAATTGATAAACTCAAAATAAAAATCATAAATTGTAAGATTGTATTCTATTAATGCATCAAAAACAATTTTGATTATTCTTTCATTTTTAATTTTTGCTTTTTTTATTTGGTAGATATTTACAAATATTAAGGAATAGAATTTTTTTCAAAAATATTCCAAAACTTGAAAAGCAATTTAATATTAATTAATAATTTCCAAGTCGCATAAATCTTTCTGAGTGTGGTTGAAAACATTATTTAAGTTTTTCTCCCCTTTTTAGTATATTTTTTTAATTTAACTTCCTAGTAATCATGAGAATCAAATTATATTTCGGCTTAAGATTCTTTATTAACTTGATTTTTTAATCTGTTGCAATTTATACATCTGAATCCTTTATTTACTTCTGAGTAACTCTTTCAACATCTTTGTACCAATCTTTCTTCAAAATCTACAACTATAGACTTATTAAGTTTTAATTTCTCTTTAAATTTCTAACTCTTTAATCTTTTTCTAAAACCCATAGTTAAATTAGAGCTTTTTAACAAAACAGAGTAATTGTTTTTGTGAAGCTATTTAATGAAATCAAAAATTATTGTTATTACTAAACCCTCTCTAATTTTCCATTCATTGTTTTTTATAAATCGATAGAGGATTAATCCCATTTATTTGATTTCAATTCATATTCCATATCGCTTTCTTGTAGGTGTTTTTTTTACCTAATTGAACTAGATGCTCTTGATCAAACTAAATTTCTCAGAATTTCAACATAGACATTATTAACTTTTCTTTGTTTCAGCCCTTAACTTATATCAACAAAATAGATTTATAATTCATTCATAAAAATTATATACAATAACTAAGTCATTAGCACAAGCCATAAACTTGTTAATAGTTCAATATTCTTTAATTAATTTATTTTTTCTACCACTTATGTATTAATAAAATTTTTTTTAAGTATGTTTTAAGAGTTCTTCAATACTTAAAGTTAATATCAAAGAGATATGGGGCTAATGAGGATCCTTAATTAACTTCATTTTAATAATGAACTTGTTATTTATAAAATGGATCATAGATATAAAATTAGTTATAAATCCATAAAGTAGAGTTAATTTTCTTGGTTCTAATTTTTATTGTATTCTTTTCTAATTGTCCAAATTCAGGAATGAGCTAGTTATTGGATAGATTAAAGAGAATTATAGGTTTTGATTGTTTAACTTTATTATTAGAATACTTCGGTTACAATTTTTCTATAACATACCCAATATGATACGAAAAAACCATTTTTGTTTACAAAATACAATCCTGAAGAATTAATTTTAGAAGTGCATATTTACCTGAGAGAGTTTTATAACTTTCTTCAATTAACTTAATAAAATGGATTTGGACTATGATGGTTCTAAACATCAAGAAGATATTCAAATTGATAAAATTTTTAAACTATTCATTCTTCTAATGATATTTTTAATAAATGTAAAAAACATTCTCTGAAAGTAATTAATTGTGATAAAAGCTTTAAAATTTTCAATCTTAATTGAAAGCTTACAAAAATATTTTTATTTAATTTCTGTTAATTTATCAGGTAAAGAAACGGACTTTATTTCATATTGTAAAATTAGGATTGTCTTAAAACTTAAAAGCAATTCATTAAAAGATTTTTGAAGTTCTTAGATCTGGTATTCAATAAACTTTAAAAGTATTGAATTAAGTTATCCTTTTAAGTAACAAAATTTCCAACTCTGAGACCTATTTTTCAGTTTGTTCAATAAGTTTTAACATGCTTGAGCTTCTATTTATCTGTTAGATTTAAATTTTATATTCTGTCTAAATCAACTCTATCTCTTAATAAAGAATTATGCTTTCATCTGATTCATTTTTCTAATCCTTAAAATCTAAATTTGTTTATGATAATATTTATTTCTAATAGTCTCATAATATATTTAAGTTAGTGAAACACCTTAAATTCATTAATCTTTTTCTATTCAAGTTATTCCAACTAAAAATATTATTTCATTAAATTAAGCCTAATAATTTTTATGATTTTTTGAGTATTTTGGAAATATTTTATGAAATCGAAAATCATATTTTTTAACTAAGAATTATACTTGGCTTATTCTTTTGTGATTTTATAATACGTATATTATCTGATAAAATTTTATAATTTGTCTTTATGACTCCCAATTTCTTGTAATTTTCCTGAACTAAAGCCAGTAATTTAGTCGAAATAATCAAATAAAAAATTGTTAAATGTTTCCAACTACTTCATTTTCTTAGTTTTGTATTCTTCCTAATTGTAAATAAAAACAAAATGAGAAATAGTCATTTTATTGTTTTACATTCATTAAGAAGTCCTTTAGCAGTATAAGGTTTTCCCATTCTTTGAAAGTGTCAACTAGTATTAATATATCAACTTAGGTTAATTCATTATTGTTAAATTCATTAAGTAAAATAATAGCTTAGTCATTGCTATGATTCATTTTTATTAGAAACCCTTTTTTCAGATATTCCTTCCATTTTTCTTTAAGATTTAAGAGTTGGTGAGCTTTTATTTTTTTTTTGTTTTAAGAGAAATATATATTAGGATTTTTCCAATCATTTAGATCCAAAAAAAATGATATTTCCAATTCCTTGAATTTTTCATGTGTTTTCTCAATTTGAAGGATTATTTATTCCAAATTCAGTTCGTTGTCATTTTTTTAATTATTAAGGATCTCCAATTACAACATATTTATTTAAAAATAAAGTTCATATTATCCTCTATTTTTTAAACTGCATACGTATTGTAAAGTAGGCAGGCTCCATGAAACAATTATATAAGCAATTCAGTATTAGGTTTTACATCAATTATTGAATTAATGATACCATTTAAACAACCTTGTAAAATATCATCACTTTCTTTACTATCATTTGGGGCCATCTGAAAAGATGTTTTGGTTAGGAAAAGGTAAAGTTCCAATTAAGTATGAATCAAATCATTCTTCTCTATTTCCATTTATTATCTTAATTCTTCACAAATATGCTTTTATGTATCACAGTTCATAAATCTCTAATCCTTTCTTATATGGAAGCTAAATATCACTTTAGATAGAGAAGCTGAAGTTAAGATAAATAATAGTTTAAATGAATCTGTTCTGATATAAAATAAACAACTTTTCAATAATTTTAGGATTCCATCTAAAATTAAGTTGTATGATTTCAAGACTTTGGAAGAATTCTTGATGAGTTTGTAAATGTTTTCCTCTAAAAAGATAATCCATCATATTGAAATCATTATTTCTTAAGCATCTGATTAATTAGCAGCAACAGCTGCTTTAGTCTATATAGTTTAGACAAAAGAATCAAATCTAGTAATGAAATTTTCTATCTCTTAAATATAGGGCTTCTAGACTTCATCTGTGTTAGGAATTATTTTAATAGATCCAAAACCGCCTCCACGTAATGGGGATGTTATTTTATTCAATAGGTCTGACATTTTTAATAAAATTTAAATAATAAATCGACACCTGTATAAAATATATATAAGCTTTTCTATCTTAAAGGAGCCACAATCAATTAAAAAAATAAAAACAAATTTTGAGTTCGATCCCGAATGAATATTTTGTTTCTTTATTTATTTAAATTTAATTTATTATTTATAAAATTAATATTATTTACACGAAAATAATTTTTAAATGCTATCATAAAATTTTTGATAAATAACGTAAAAATAATTATTTTTTATATTTTTTACATATCGTGATTATTCTCCTTGCAAGTTTTTCTTTATTTTAGCTATTTTGAAATTCACCATAAATCCATATAAATTTTTTTCTTAAGTAGAAGAATATTTTTCAAATTTGAGAAATTTAGTTCGCGACTTATTTTTGAAATTGTTTTTCTTAAGCTATCCATCTTCTTTAGTATGAATATGCTCGTAATCATATGGAATAAGTAAATTAGAAGATGCCTAATGAACCGTTTGTATAAGATTTTAGCTATTTTAATCAACTTATTGAGAATATTATTAATAGTCTAACAAATGATAATATTCTTTTCTCCTTATTTATGGTCATAATAGATGATGGTTTCTCATATATTAAAACATTATAACAGAAAATCTCTTAAATTATTAACAATTCCGATTTTGTAAAGTTAGTTAATATAAAACTAGATTATAATAAATATACTTAATTTTAGGGGTAATAATTTCAGAATGAATAAAATGAAGTTTAATTTAAATTTACGTTTAATAAGAAAAATAATATTTTCCTAATATGTTGCTTGATATTAAATATAAATATCATCGAAAAATTTTTGTATACTGCATAAGAATTTTAATTACATCCCACAATCTAATATCATAAAGGTCTTCAATAAATTGTCCTTCAATTTTTGTAAATTCTGGCTCATTGGACTTCAAGTAAGTGATATTTAATTATTTAAAAATAATTCTGATTATTAAGACTTACATCTCAAAGCGCTCAATAAAAAAATTAATATAATTTAAAGTATTTAGTAAAGAAGGTATCATTTCATTTCATTTCTTTAATTTTCACAAATTACTTAAATTAACTTATTAGAAATAATTACAGGTTTCCAAAATAGCATCTAGGTTGCAATAGGTCTGCTACGAAAAATTACAGCCAAATAATAAAATTTAAACAATTTATATTTTATATTATTAAGTTAAGTAATCTTGTTATTTTATTTTTAGTTATTAAGCATCTTTTATTTCTTTTATCTCTTAAATAATTGATTCATTATTTAGTTAAAATAATATTAATTACCAATGCTTTGAAAATTAATTAAAAATACTAATATTTTTTCCCTATATATAATATGAAAATCAAAATCATCCCATTAATCCAAAAATTTATAGTGAAATAACTGAAAAGATATAAGTTGTTCCATTATATGTACCATTTGAATTATTTGGACCGATAGAAATGCTACTCACATTTATTGGTGGCAGCTTTCTAACTATAAGTTTAAGCTGAATTAGTGTAACAGATCTTGGAAACTGTCATGGTCCCAGGATCAGCAGCAAATCTGTAGCAATGGCATATATGAATAATAATCAGTTGATTTTATTGGTTTACATTATTCTTCTTCTGAGCCAGCTGTAGATTCTTTTCCAGTGTATCTGTTATTCCATCATACGATTTACAAGTATCTAGTTTAAAACAATTACTTCCTCCAAGATATGTACACTTATTTCCACTAAAATAAGTCTATGTTGCACAAACAGAAGCTTAATTTGATGTTACATTATAAAGATGACAATCTTCTTAAATAGATCAAGTTGTTCCTGATAGTAGGATTTTATACATCTTAGCAATCAAAGTCTCTATACACAGGATCAGCAGCTGTGCAAGCAAATTTTTTTCCATCAACATTAATTTGCTTAAACAATATGTTTATTTATCAGCATCATTTGTGGTTAGTTTTATATATACAGAATTAAGTTCTATCTTTGCAATTTGGGCTTTATGATATGTAGATTTAAATGCATCTGAATTTGCAGTATTTTATCTATCTCAACTTCCTATTGTAGGTATTGTTATATTAGTACTATTTGCATTATTGGATATTACACAAATAGTTTTATCACTTACTAAACTACAATAATCAGTGTATTCTTTGGTACTTCTACAATTAAAAGAAATTTTATGAATCTGTTGGTGATGAACTTGGAATTTTAGTCGGACAATTAACAGAAATATAAAATTTTCATACAGCATCTTGCTTTAAAAGACCCAAATATTGCTAAACTTTAAGCTGAATAAAAATCTGAGCAAGCAGAATATTATCTCGTGTACTACCTGAAATAAACATAGATTACTTATAGACTGATGTTTCTGTAGCAATTTTAGTTAGATAAGTAATAACTTTCAATCCCAGCATAGTTCTTATTTTTTGTAATGGACAAAGCCTAATCAATTTTATAGTTTGCACAAAAAGTTGATAACGTTAGAATAATTGAATCTGTACTTTTTTTAATTTTCCTGCAAATGTAAAGAAAGTTGAATCGTTATGGGTTTTTGCAGTTTATATATTTAATGGTTCACAACTATTCTATAAACTACAATTTGTATCAACAGATTTAAATGCACAAATAAGTCTTTTATCGTTTGAAACTTTTTAGTTTGAGTTAATTTAAGTGTATCAGTATTATCAGTAGTAATGTAACTAAATGCATAATCTTTTATAGATCAATCAAAAATGGTTTATAAAGAAGTAGTGAATAATAATGTGTTTGAATTATCTGCTTTTAATATTTAATTGCTCCTACTGTATGACCACATCATTGTAATCTTTAAAATATTCAAATTTTATTAACTTAAGTGTTGTTGTTGAATAAGAAAGAGTATAACTACTACATGCTGCTTAATCAATTTAAGCAGCTCCAGTCTTAAATAATCTACAAGTGGATTACGATCATAACAATCCTAAGCTGATGCAAATATCAGAACGTAATCTATCTTAGGAAACATCAAATTTTTTGCATCCCACCTTTATCCAAACTGATGAAACTTAAAACCCCTACTAATGTTAAGACAAAGTAATAACTGATCCTTTTTATTCAGAACCTTTTCTTGATTATTTATTAATATATCCTCTGACAGATTTAAATATCTCAAACAATAGCAAATTCAAAAAATGTTGCAGTACATGTGTAAATTGCTCGAGTTGAATAAAAATCTGGATTGAATGTCTGCAAAAAAAATAACCATTATGAAAATACTATAGATTATTTATAATACTCCTTGGCTTTTAGTTTAATTTAGGATGAATATTTATAATAACTAACAAGGCTTATACTTTAATTTCATTAGGGATTGTGTAATTGTATAAATTGACTTTATTTGCATATGACCATTAAAGAGGCAGACATGCAATACTAGTTGAAAAGAAAGGAATGAGTTTTTTTTTATTTCTACTTAGAAACATAGAATAATATTACATAATATTCTGTAAACTTAGAATACACAGGAAAGAATTGTGAAACAAAGATAAAAAAAATTTCAAAGAAATCAATTTGGCTGATTGATGGTAACATTATGGGAATAGCAAGAATCAGAAGGTAATCATATCTTTGCGCTATCTTTTAAAATCGAAACATCAGAATCTAACAGTAAGGAATTGATAGAAAATGTAGGTTAATTAAATAGAACAATGCCTTAATTAAATTAAATTTCTTATGAAATCACTATAAAATTAATACTTACAATAAATTTTTACAACTTCATTAATCTTTATAGTTCTAAGTAATACAATACATCTCTACTATGAATGAACATATACCCGCAATACTTATAGAACTTAAACTCTTTGGAAGAAACCGTGGATATAATGATTCATATCTATATATAAGGAAAGGAAAAAATTATTCAAAGTAAAGTATTGATAATTAATGAGGATTATAAAATTTTCTGAGTTTTTCTGCTTCTACAATATAAAAATCTTTAGAAAGATTATTAGAATCCGTTGCACTATATGCTAAACAATTCTTTAACTCAATAATTATACCCCTTAAAAGAAATATAACAGATTGAAGCATTCTGATATTTTTATATAATCGTGAAGTCAATACATAATTTCGAATTGTATAAGGATGAAGATTAAAATTAAAAGAATATCTTATAAAATCGACCTAATTAAATGATCCATAGTTATTTATTCAAGTATATTTTATCCTTTTTAGATAGTATCAATCTTTTAAAATTCCACTAGATAATTCTTTAATGAATAATAAATTTTAACAATGAAATTTGATAGAAGATCATTTTAAGCTTATTCTAAATTATTCACTCTAATTTATCTTTATTACTCTAAATTTCACTTTCCACGATTATAATTGATAAGGATATCATTTGTAAATAATTAGAAAGTTTATTAAATAAATTGATTAATAGGGGATTAGAGTTTTAAAAAATTATTTAACATCTCTTAAATATTTAATTATGGAGCAGAATAAATAAGTTTATTGATATGACTAAACCAAAAGTAAAGAATTAAATATTAGTTATCTCGTCTTTCATTCAGAAAGTAAAAGTAAAATCTAAATGAAAGCTACTTTGAAGAAAAATATTTTTTAGAATTCATACTATTCATCTGTTGTAATATTCACATTATAATAAAATATTCAATAATAAAATAAACGATTTTAAGGAAAAGATTGATGAAAATTAATAATAGATCATATTGGTAATAGAACTTGCCATAATCTTCAATATAGTATTTATATTTAAAAAAATATCTATCTTAAAATAATTTAATTTTGATATTATATATTTAATGAAATCATTTACTAGTCGTAAGTTCAAGTCATATATTTTTTTTTAATTTAGATTTATTAAATTTCTTTATGTTATTATTTTTGAAATTGAAGTATAAGTGATGCATTGCAAAGAGAATGAGCACAATTTAAATTGTCCTATAAATTATAATATTATCCATATTTTTTTCAATAACTCTATTTAATATTCTATACATTCCTAGTGCAGTGTAAGGGATTAAGAAGTAAGTTAGAGTGTTTTTTATTTATGTTGTAAGATCAGATTTCCCTATATGATAAATGGAATCAAAAATTTCTTAAATTGCCCAACCACTTATAGTATTTCTAAAAGAGCAAAAACATAAACCAGGAGTCATTAAATAATATACACATAAAAGTCTAGTTAGATAGGATTAATATTTAACAAAGTTTCTTTGATCAAAAATTTCATTAGGCTTAATAAATATTATTTCAAGCATCTTTGCCCATATTAACCATCTTACTAAATTTGTAATTGTTGTGATATCTTCAAGTTCTAAACTTGTTTGGTAAACTAAAAATATAATTACTTGAATCCAACCAATCACTCTGAGTATATTATAGATAAGAATAATCTCGATATTGATTTTCATAAAAGAATTAATTACTGAAAGATAATCCACTAATAAAATATAAAGCCTTAATTTATAATATATAAAAAGTGAATTATATTATATTTATTCTATCTTTAGCAATTTCTTATTGGATTGATATTTTTATTTATATTCCTATTTATAAATTTGAATTTATTTAAACTTGATTCAATATAATTTTGCTCCCTCATAGTTGATTTTTTGGTTGGCGAATTTTAATATATATAAAGCTAACAATAAGATTGCTATTTTTTGCAATTTTTTAATTAACTTAAATTATTAAAAAATAGAATTTTCTCTCTTTTTTTCAAAATAACTTCATAAATTTTATGAACTATTCTTAGAAGATTAGACTCATTTCAAAATTAATCTTACTATTCTGAGGCTAATATAGATTAAAATTTTCAATAAGTTATGAAGTAATTAATTAACTTCATTTTTCAATTATAAAATATAATGTATTCATAGGTTAAAGTTTATTTTTGTAATCAATTTATAGTTATTATTAAAATAGTCTTGTAATTAAAGTTTGATTTCTTTATTAAATAAAATTGTAGAAAATTTTTATAAAGCATCAATTATATTGATACTTTTAGATTATTAGAAAAAAAATTATTTTTTAATACTATTATTTTACTTTAAATTAAATTGACAAACAACATCTAAAAATTATAATAACTAATAATGTATAAAACAAATTTCAAAGGGTGTTTTAATTTATTAAAAAATAATTAAAATGATAAAGCAGACATTTTTCATAGCAAACCCAAACGATATTAACTAATTTTAATAGTAATAATCCTTCTGTATTTTTTCCAATTGAAACTAATGTTTCTTTGTAAATCTTGTAATCTTAACCACTTTAACGCTTCTATTAATTTCCTGCAATGGCCCTTGATAATAAATATAAAAGCTAAATATTTATAAAGTTTACTTTATGAATGGATCTTTCACAATACAATTTACCAAAAAGAATTGAAATTTGGTTTATAAATGTAACTTTAAAAACAAACAAAGTTAAAAATAGAATAAAATTGTTATAGTGGAAAATCAATTGGCTTTGGCTTTGTTGACTTTGAATTTTCCTTAATTTTTCCAAATTATTAGAAAATAGTCAAAGCACTAAAAAAATTTGAAATATAAAATATTTACCATAATGTTTTCTATAAACATGAAAATTTTTTTTTTTTTTAAACCTTCTATGTGAATACTATATACTTTAAGCTTTTTTATTTTAATAAAGCTATTGAATTATATTCTTCTATTTTCAGAATATTTAATTCAGAGCTTCACTTAAATATAAGAAAATTTGTCAATCCATTAAAATGCTCGATTAATTTTTGTATTCTATGAAATTCATGCATCTAACTTTTTTTGAATTATTCAATTAAAATAAAATTAGCCAAAAATAACTATTTGTTATGATAATTTTACCCACCAATAAATTTCATTTATTCCACTACTAATCTTAATAAGTTCATAAATGAATATCCAAAAGTTAAACTTTACTAAACTTTAAACTAAGTTAGAATTATTTTAAATTTATTTCTTACCATATTGAATGATAGAATTATTTGTTTTGATGAGATCAATCGTATTTGATGAACAATAATTTGAATTAATTGAGTACTCAAAAAAATATCTAATGATCAAGATAAAAGATCAAATAGGATTAAATTAATTTTTTATAAAGAATATAAATGTTAATTATAAATGATAATAAAATATAGAATATAATTAATTAATATGTTAAATAAAGTTCCTTCTCAAATATCATTTGGAATTGATTCAAAAGTATCATAGAAATTTGATGATAATCTGTAAATTAGGACTGGTGAATTTAAGATAAGTGGGTTTAAAATTTATTTGCAAGATAATAAAATTTGCGGAATGGCAATTATTTACTTAAATAAAGGAAATGGAAGAAAGATTATCTTTACCGACACTTATTAGAATCAAAAATATACTTCATTATATGAATTTGATATTCCATCTAGTATTAATATATTTCAATAAATAGATGATTATATTTAAGTCATTTTTGGCCATTATGATGAACAAATAAATTAACTTGGTATTATTACATACTAAGGAAAAGAAGACATTTTTGGAATAGATTAAGGATAAAAATTTAATTGCATGTTTATGGGTTACACTTTTACAGGTTGTAATGGTACTTTTACATAAAGATCAATTGAATCTCTAAGTTTTTAAGTTCAGAAACTTCCCAAGGATTACATTTGTTAAAATGTAACTAATAATAAAATTATTTAGCTTAGTCCTTTATTAGATATACTTTATCCAAACCTAGATAATAATCTAATATAAAATACAGAATTAATGAATTCAAAACCATTAAATTTATCAGATTTAACAATTCAAAATAAATTAGAAAGATTAGATTATTCATCAAAGAATCAAGATTAGTTATCAAAATCAGAAGCAATAACAAAAAAAGAATATAAAGGATTTGACTTTTCTAAAGTTCCTGTTGAAGAGAAACAAAAATAATAGGGAATTATTTATAAAGTTCCTGTTGAAGAGAAACAATAATAATAGGAAATTAATCATATTCAAAAGATATATAAAGAAGGATTCACATATCGTGATATAAGAGAGATTAAAAAAGAAGTTGGTATGGCTATAGGAATTTTTAAGCTGATTACTCATCATCATTGATCATAATTTTATATTAATTTTTATAAATTTATTAAATTTCATATTTGAGAAATAATGAAATCAGTTTTAGGACTCAAGAGTTTTAGTAAAATATTGTTATAATTTGTATAGAACTAGAAATATTATAATTTCAATTATCAACAAACCCTATTTTATTTTAGCTTGTAAATTCATTTTTAGTTGAATATATAGAATAATTTTAATATATGACTTTTATAATCATATAAAATTCATTTCTTAATATGATAAACAAAATTTTATTTAACCATGTGTTGATTTCATATTCTAACTAATGATATAATCAAAGATTTGAGATCATTTTAATGCTCTGTTGACTTTAATGGAGTTTGAAATAATAACATATACTTTCAAAATAAAGTACTGAATAAAAGTAAAAATAAATAAATTGATTCTACTTTCAACCAAATATATAATAGTTGCTAAAGGATAATTTCAATATAGTCATTTTATTGTTAAAAATTATTAAATCTATCAATGAAATAGGCCAATTAAATTCAATCTATAATTCTCATAAGTATTATTTCTTATTAGACTAAAAAAATAATATAATTATAAGTAAAATGAAGTAACTAATTTTGCTAAAATATAGATTTAATAATTTTTTTGATATATATAATCAAATGTTAACATTTAATCTTCTAAATTAGATTACTTCTAATTTATCATTCCAAATAATTAGAATATTTCCATCCTTACTAACTGTACCATATATGTATTCGCTTTTAAATTCAAAATATTAAACTAACTCTGATTCAAATTGTTAAGAATTTACTTATTTTATCCTAACAACATTTACAGAATACCCATTTCTATCAATAATTAGTTATTTTGATGGTACATAACTTAAAGGAAATAAACTATTACAAGCTTAATATCCTCCTTTAACATTACTCTAAGTTAATTTCTCTTTAGAATTTAATGAGTAAAATTATAAGTGTTCATGAGGTCTTGAACCTCGTTCTTAAAAGGCAATTATATCATTTGTAATAAAGCACAATCTCAATCCATAGGCGTTAGTAGATATTTTTTCCATAACTTTCCATTCTGTAGTGTTGCTTCCTTCCAAAACCAATATTTCTTATCCTGTATTACAAGATACTAATTTATCTCCTTTTTAGTTAATAGATAAACCAAAAGTGTCACGATTCTCAAAAGGTTTGCAAATCCATTCATTTTATATTTTATTAGGTTCTGTATCTAAATTTTAAAACCAAAATTATATTGTTTATTAAGAACCACAAATGATAAGGTCTTCTTCAGGATGAATGACTAGACTCTTTACTTGAGATATATCCTATTCTATTTTCAAACATGTTTAAATATTCCATTAATGATCGGATTCATCCCATATAATAATTGTGTCTGCAACAGATATGAATGATCTAGACCTCAAATTTTTACTAAAGAAACTAAGACAAAGAACAAGTTCTTAATGGTGCTTTATCAATTATAACATTTTTAAGGTTTAATCCTGAGTTATTTGAATTACTTTAATGTTGTAACCAATACCAGCTACGACTAAATTATTATCAGAGTTGATGGCTATTGCATAACATGGCACCTTTTCCTCATAAACTCTAAAAGGGTTTTCCTCATAAAGCAGTTCTTAATTCTAAATGGGTTTATCTTATTATATCATTTAATAAAACAATCTATGAATTTTTTGATTCTTGAATTTAAACACATAAAAATATTCAAGTATTATCAATTCTGTTGATATTAACTTGGAGTATTTATATTTAATTGAATATGATATTATTTTAGAATCAGAAAGATTAGTTAGAGCTACACATTATTTCATTATTATTATTGTTATTGTTTAAATCATAATTATTTTTTTTTCAATAATATATTGTAATGACTCTATTTTATAATACTAAAAAGAAAATAAATTTGAAGAAAAATTGATTAAAGTATCAAGAAAGAAAAAGAATTAACTTATTATTCCTAATCTCATTACTCATGTAAAATTCAACATCTTTTATAACTGGTAATCTTCATTCCCAAAAAATTTCATCGATTAAAAAAAGAGGATCAAATTAATCAGTGGTTTAGATGATGAAACAAGTATAAACAAATTCCAGTAACATCTTTCTATTAATTTTTTCATGTTTATGATTAAATGAATTTCTCAAAAGGATAATGAAATGCTTATTTAAATCTTGAGAAATATTTTTTGAATTGAAGTTTATTATCTAATAATTATTAGAATTTATAAATTCTATATATTTATATTTAATCATTTTTCTGGTACTTATAATAGTTAAGATCTTCCATATGTTTCCTAATTTAAATTGAAATACAAAAACAATTGTAATGAATGAAATAATTGAATTTATATTAGGAATGATAATCTATGATGTAAGAAAAATATTTATTAAAAAAAAATAATTAACTGAATTCTCTTTAAGTTTACTTGATATTTTGAAAATATTAAAGCAACAATTTTGTTTATTTTTAATTAATTAAACATAATTATATGAATTTTAAGGAATATTACTCATAAGAAGTATTTGAAAATATAATAATTTTATTTGAATAATAAATAATTGATCATACTTCTATAAACATAATTCTTGGCTTTGTTCTCTCTATTTCTTTTTATTTAACATGCTTAAATTTTTATATTATAGATTTTATAATCTGTATTACTTAATTAAATAATTCTACTATTATTCCTGATGATAAAATTAAAATATGACACCAACCAAATATAATTTTTTTTATTCATTAAATAAATATACAAAATCAGCATTATATACTGAAGAACTTAATGTAAATATCAATACTGACAATTCTAACACTAACTAAATGATAAATGAAGATAATTTAAAGATTTTTCTATAGGAAAATAATAGTGCTATTTAGAATAAGCTTGTAATACAAATCAATTTAATTTATAACATGCCTGAATCTTGAAAATATATCAAAATAAACAAAAAGAGCATCTTTCTTATAACCTAAGCTATTTCAAACATATTTTCTAATGATTAAGTTATAAGGTTTTAAATTTATTAAGAATTCTTATCAAATATTGATAGTATTACTATAACATAACACATCAATATTGCAAATGAAATTATAACTTATAATATGTCCAAGGAATTGTTAAAGTCCATAATTTTAGTAAAGATGAAAATTTTAAAAATAATATCCCATCCATTAAGTAACAATATTTATTTTAGTCCTTTCAAACTTATGTACTTTCCTAAATTGATGATATTTAAACAAATTTTATAAAATTTCAGGGATATTTTCTAAACATATTATTTATTTATATATGGATAAAGTTTAGTCATAAAAGTTAAAAATCGTTAATTAAAAATGTTATAAAATAAAATCTTTTTAAGCTATTTTACAGAGATCCAAATTAATAATCCAATAATAAACTAAAAAAATTAGATTTAAAGGTTTGATAATAAATTAGCATTTTATGGATATAGTCTAAATTATCCTTCTTTAAATTACTTGTCCGAATTATAATCTAAAAACTCAAATAAATCATCAAAATGAATAAATTCAAGAAATGGTTGAATTGTTATCATATCACTTATTTAAAAATAAATTAATAAATTTTATGGATAATCTTGATTAATGTATCTTAAATATTATTAATATTAGAGAATATTTAAGCATTCCAGGAATAAATATTATACTCCAAAAAATAATGTTGTTACAGATAGAGCAGATACTACATAGATAATTTATTTATTAGTATATAGAAAAGTATAAGAATATTATTCTTATTATTCATTCAAATATTGAGGGAACATCAAAGTTAAAAGATATTCATTTTATTAGAGTATTAAATCTTCACTATTACCTACAATTTAATTAATTAGCAATCTCAAAATAGGTCTATAATCAAGCAATTGATTAATTTCAAGTTCTAAAATATACTCAGGAAGATGAATTTCTTGATTTGTATCTTATTTAATATGCAATTTGTAATTATAGTATTTATTAGAGATATTTAGGATATCAAATTCAAATGTTTAAGATAAAGGAATGGAGGAATATACCTTAACTTTTTGGGTAAATGTAATTGAAACATATTATTTATTAAAGGTTTAGTTTTAATAAATAAGAATTAATTAAGGAGCCTTAAAGAATGTGCATTCATTTAATTCATTACATTTCCAATTAGATTCTATGAAACAATTATTGCAACCATCTCCTCCAATAGTATTAGCATCATCACAAAATTCCGGATCCATTTATATTCCATCACCACATATTTAATTTGATTCACATTAACCATTTGTAAGTAAAATAAAATTATTTTCACATTCTTAACAATTACCTTAATAACAGTCAGTGCAATTCTAAGTGCAGGAATATTAACACAAATGACATCCATCAAATTAAATGTTATTACCATCATCACATTCTTCTTTATTTGTTACTAATTTATCTCCACATATTGATACACATTGATTATTTAACAGTTCAAAACCTTCTTCACAATCTTGTTGTATAGAATAATCTCTAAGCAAGCATTAATCACCATCCAAAATATAGGTTTAATTGATACAACTAATGCAAGATGTTTCTGAATTACATTCATAACAAGGTTATTAACATTCATGGCAACTAAATTAATCAAAATACATAGTTGCCACACATGATAAGCAACTTGTATTTGATAGACAAGATAAGCATGGTTCATTACATGCTATAAATATTAATATTATTTACCTAAGCATTATTGATCCTCCTAATAATACCCAAAATTGCATTCGCATTTCTTAGTTATAGGATTAAATTATGATAATGGAACACATTGTTCACATTAATTATCATCTTTAAAAAAGGAACATAAATCTAGAATGCTTTCTACATTTAAAAATATATTATACATTCACAACCAAACTAAGTCACAATATAACCAGGGTTGCAAATACATTAATTTTATTCATTTAAAATTTTAGGTTCAATGCAACTCTTACATTTAGTTTTTGTTTATTCACATGACAAACACATAGGATCACAATCTTAACAAATTCCATCTGAATCTTGAAATTGATTTTGTTTACATCCACAGTAATAGTATAATGTAACTTAATCTTATAGTAGTGTTTATTAATATTCAGATGGACATGTTAAACAATTTGTATAGTGAATATCACAAGTTTAACAATTGTAGGAACAATCTACACAATAATTTTTGACTGAATTATAATATTAAGAAGAACTGCATTCACAATTTGATAATATTTTATGACATTTTTACAATTCTTCAACATAATCACATGGTTTATAATGATTATTACATTTAATTGCAAAAATAACAATATCTCCTTTTAAATAAGGGAAAGTAGTTTATTAACCTAATGTTTTAAGAGAGTATTTCATCTATCCAGTCCTTTTATTTTCTGATAAGTAAAATTATAAGATATGTGAATTTTAATTGTTAAATTATTTCAAGGTTGTAAAGCTGGGAATACTAAGAGGAACATGTTTAATATTCACATTCCAATGTGCTCCTCCTATTGAAAAATCTTTCCCTTAAGTACACAAATCTAAACTTATTAATATTTAATCATAAACATAATTTGTGAATTCAAATAATTGATAAAATATTTATACTAAAGATAAATTTGTTGTAAATTCAAAAGTATTTGTATCTGATTTTTTTTCTAAATTTAAATTAATATCCTATTAATCAAACTCATCTATATTCCATCCTAAAATATTTCCAATAACTAAATTTTCCTTTTAAATGGAGACATCAAATACATCTACAGGAAATACCCCAATTAAATTGTTATTCACATTAAAAAATCTACTACTGTAACCAGACACCCACTATACCTTTATGTAAACTTTTGGATCCATACATATTACTGTTAGGAAAAAAGAGATATTGGTGATATCTTAGGCAGAAATTGTAAATATTAATCCTTAATTCTAATATTATTCTTTTGCTATATGGCCTAATAAACTGATTGCAACTAGTGGAGGAAAGAGATATTTTTTTGTAAATTTAATTTCTTATTAAATATTACTTTAACAAGTACCTTCAAAGATACCACTCTCTACTGTAAGATCAGGCAAGTATTCTAAATTAAATCAATTAATACCTATACAATCAGGAGATATTCCATCATCAAAATAGCCTGGTGGACAACTACAATTTGGTTCTTTTATTCTTATACCTGAACAAGTCAAGCAATAAGATAAATTAAATGGATCACATGTTAAACAAGTTGGATGGCATTTAGGTATGCATTCTTTTCTAAATTCATTGGTTTCAAAGTTAGATGGACATTCTAGTAAACACTATCCTTAATGTAAATAATTATTCTAAATTTAAAATTTTAATACATTTAGACAATAAAAACATTAATTTATTGAGAAGGCACATTCTTCTTTTATAACATAATAAAATCCATTGCTAATTCTTATATTAGATAGTCTAAATGAATTAATATTTGTATCTAATTTATTATTAATAATATTTACTATCTTTGCTTCCAATAGTCAAGGTATCTACATTTTGTAATTAAAAAGCTTGTTCATATGATAAAACTTCTTTAGTCAAAAGTACTTGTTCATCATTTTGAATTATCAATATTGATGTTGTCACAATTCCATTAATTATTGCTATTATTAATTTACTTCCAAAATTTACTGAACATACTTGAATTGGTATCATATTTAAATTAATCAATAATGCTTATGTATTGAAATTTGCCTTAATTGTTAATACATCTATAGCTAACTTTTTAGATTAAAATATGAATAGAGTGATCTCATCTGTTAGAATATCATCAAATAATTAAAATTCAATAGTAATTGTATTTGAAATTTTAAAATTTTCAATTTCAATATATTTTAGTTTTAGAATGACAATAATTATTGATTTGGAATAATTATAGGATTTATTGTATTTCCTATTTTTACAATGTGTTAATTATCACTCCAATCTTTTAATACATTGGTCTAAGTTCTCTCATACAATTTTAGATCAAATATTACATTCAATTCAACATAGTTTGAAATGATTAAACTTTTAATAGGATTGTCAAATATATCATATTGCATATTTAGCAATTTAGCTGTTATTGAAATAGCCTCTCCTTACCAAGGATAGATTTCATACAATTCTGTTTAAAAAATAGAAGGCTATAAAAAGCTAAAAAGATAATACTCTCCTTCCCTACTAAATTATTGACATTATAGATCATAGGTAATAGATAAATCCAAATAACAAATCAATTATGAGGAAAGGTCTAATTGTAAAAAAAACACATAGACCCAAACTTCATCAATATATTCAAATGAATTGCCTTCAATTGTCATAATTTGATCATTTTCTAAGTAAACAATTTCACTAGCTCCATCTATTGACATTATTGACATTATAAATTACTTTTCTGATTATGAATTTCCTTTAATCCAAACTGAAAGATATTGGAATATTTACTTCCGATAGTAAATATGTCACTCCCAGTGTTGATACCATGAGTAGTAACATCATAAAAATATATATTGTTTTCTTAATCAATTCCAGATTAAAGCTCAATTCCCATAGGATAAATAAGGTTACTAAATATAGTAAAATGATACTCTGATTCTAGAGAAATGAATAATAATTCATTTGAGACCACTGAACAAACCAAAAAGGTGAATAGTGAAATCATTCTATAAAATTAATTATTACATAATTAAACAATAAAGTTACCATTTTATTCCATAAAAATTAAATATTTGTATTATTTTATCAAAATATTCAATTAATTTAATCTATTTTATTTTATTAATAATAAAACTAATTTAAATTTTAATTAATATTTATTATTTTTAACTGATTATTTTCATCACATAGCAATAATTCTATATGATAAATTATACTATTTTAGATTTTATCAATAATTTTATATTATTATTTTATTTTGAGCATCTTCAAGTAAAAATTAAACAAAAAGTTTTTATAATTCATATTTAATTCAAAATAATATATATTTTAATAACTGGCATTCAAGCTCCTTTATAAAGTTTATATTTTCATCTTTTTGAATATTTAACATATTATATTTTCTTTAATATTTTTCTAATTTTATAAATTAAATATTGGATAAATAACTTATTCCTTTTTGAATATTATTCTTGTTTAAAAACCCATATTTTTAAAATAAAATTTGATAATCTCAAATGAGACTATTAAAATCTTAATAAAAGTATTTTTGAAAATAAATTAGGAAATCTTATTTTTTTTTTTTTTATATGATCATTAAAATCTATTTTATGAATAACCGAAACATTTATCTGAAAATTTATAAAAAGATTAAACCAAAAAATGCATCTCTTCAGATTAATTTTTTATTTAAAATCTATCAGTATAGAATTAGTAGAGTATTCAATATTTCTATTATTGCTTTTTGTATTTTTATATGACTAAATAGGAGTAGGAATCTCAATACTAAATTTTCGATTGATATAACTAATATTTTTACTTGGAAAATTATATTTATTTTTATTAATATATATTATCTCTCTAGTAAAAATAGTCATCTTAAATTGACATTCTTTTCACTTTGAAAGCTAGAATGCTGTTTATTTTTTACAATTCAATATTTAACAATAGAAGATATATGTATTCTATATTTAATAAAGTTCAAGCATTTAAGATTTAAAATTCAATCTTTTATCAAAAGAATCCAAAATAGTCTCTAAATCTAACGATAACTAATTCTATTTAATATTCTTTTTTCTAACTAAAAGCTTTTTGAATCTTTTTATTTTAATAACGTAATTCCTTCATTCTATATTAATTGGTAATTTCAATCAAATTCATCCGAAAAAGAAATAAAGAAGTAAAAATTAGAATTCTAATGAATGATATTACAATCTTCTAAGGGAAAATGCATATCTATTGATTGAAAATCGTATGCCATTATTTTTATTTAAATAATAGTTTTAGTTATTTTATTTATTATTTTATCATAATTATATAATAGTTATACATAAAATTATACAAACTCTATCGAATATATGGATAGATATCATTCTAATGAATAATATTAAAGTTTTCTTATCTATAAATTCTTTTTACTTTCATCCCAAATAGCTAATAATTAACCATCCTCACTCATCTTCCCAAAAATATTATGAGATTCGAAATAAATAAATTACATAATTTATATTTCTCCTTATCCTATTGCTTTTAATAAAATTATTGTATCACCATTTTTATTCAAAATTATTTTTTTTTATTTTACAAACTCCATTGGAAAAAATGCATTACAGTCTTTTAGTGTTTAGGTTAATTCAATTTCTTTAACTTTCTCAACTTAACAACCATTTTCTAAGATTTAATAAAGTATTATTGCTTTTTTATATCTAGGTTAATACAAAAACTAATCATTATCAAGAAAACATATTCGATATCCATATTATTAAACAAAAACTTTTTATGTTACAATCCAATTTTCATCACTTTATTTTCCAATAACTAAAATCATTTTATCCCATCCACAAGATATAAGTTTATTTTCATTCTAATTCAAACTTAATGCCCATACAGCTCCTGCATGATCATTAATTGATTAAATGAGAAACCATTTCATAGGATTCTTCCAAAATTTTATAATATTATTATTTCCTGTTATAATAAGATCACATCTTTCATTATATATTAAACAACCAACATATGAAGAAGTAGCATCAAATTTTTTGATTATGATTGGTTTTGCAATAGGAATTAATGACCAAATATGGATATATCCTTCTTAGCTAGTCGATATAAGTAAATTTATTTTTTACAATATAGTTATTGTTGTAAGATATGTTTTATGACTTGATAAAATTTTTATTTGTTTAATTTATCCTTAAAGGATAGATAATACTTTAATAAATGTTTTACATTAAATTATCAATAGTTAATTTCCTTTTATAAAAGCCATTGATTAGCACCAATCTTTCTGTTTAAGTTGAGCATATAATTAATATTCAAACAACTCTTAATAATCTTTTTCTTGATCTTAGAGTTTTTAATTTAATGATTTTTCTCTATTCATTATAAAATAATTTATAAATAATTGTATTTTTTGTCAAGCTATAATTTAAGAATCTAAGTGCATTTGAAGCAATTTTAATAATCAACAAATGAACCATTTGCTAGAGATTTATATCAAATCCTAACATATCTATAAGTATATGAATTTTTTGGTATTCAAAATATATCTGAAGTATTAGTGAATAGAGATTTATAAGGTATCAAAGAACTTAAGACTGTTAAAGTCTTAGAATTGTATAAATTCATTATTCAGATTTTTTTTAAATTACTTTTCTACTATATATTTCTAATAAATTTTCTAATTCTTATAATGATGTCCGTTTTATTTCATTTAAATTTACTAATTTATGCACTCAATCTAATAAAAAATTTGTGACTTTTTGATATATTTTTTATGTAGTGTTTAAAATAAATTTTATAGATTTTTTTAATATAGCATAAATAAATTATATTTCAATAATTAAAAAAATCAGACCTTAATTAAAGGATATGGATCTACTTCCTATATTTTTTTTCTTTAATGTTTTAACATCTTCTATATGATGTTTTTTATTAAAATTAGAATTAAGTATAATTAAAAACACAAATTAACTAATAGCACTGATAGTAGCAAGCTTATATGAAACCATCCTAGCATATTCAAATCTTAATTATCCAATATGCCATTCATCTCATTACAATAAAAAATTGAAGTTAATGTAAAGATAAATGTACTTATTTCAGAATAAAAATTAAAAAAATATTCTTCTTATTTCTTAATAGGAGTAAAATAATATAAATAAACTAAAGAATATTGAGTAATCATTGACAATAAAATAGTTTAGATTAATGGACTTTTTTAAAACAATACTAAAATAGATATAAAAAACAATTTTTTCAGCATATATAATTTTTGAAATTTTGATATCCAAAATTTTTATTATGATTGATTCTGATTATCTTTAAACCAATCACATGATATAAAAATCATAAAATAATATAATATCCAGTAGGATGAAATTTAAGCAAAAACATACATATTTTAAGTATCCCTTGTAGATTTTATTTATAAAAAGGATAAAAAAAGCAAATCCCAACTGTTTGATCTTATAAATGATTAAAAACTATTTTTCAAGAATTCTCTATTTTTTTTGAAAATGATTTTAAAAACTCTTAAAATAAAATTTGCAAAATAGTATCCAAAACAAAAATAATGATTATTTTTCATTTATCTTAGTATCTTAAACAACATCTCAACAAATACATATGTTAATAAAATAATAAGAATTTAAAAAATCTAAGCTTGTATATTAATAAAAATATTAGCGTTTATCTAATAATAATAAAATTTTTCGTATGATTCAACAAAATTCTCTCCAATTACAGATATAGAGAAAAAATTATACCAAACCTTATTCAATATAGGCTAAAGTGATATTATATTACTTAGCTCAAAATAAGTAAATAAATTTAATGGAAATGCCACATTAATAAACCTTAAGTAAGACTATTGTTAAAGAATTTCTAAAATTGCACTAATAAATAAAGAACTACCAGAGAAAAATAAAACAAATCCAGACCCACCGATAATCATTAAAGCATAATAAGCAGAATCTTTTACATAAATTGCAGATTAAAGTTCCTATTCATCTAAGTATTTACTTTGTAACAATCTAATTGTTAAATATTAATTAATTAAAGGAGAGTCATATTCATTATAAAGTTGATCAAGTAATTTCACTTCTAATATTGGTATATGTGCTAATTAAGTCTTAAATAAAATTTCTACAATATATTCAACTTATGATAATGTCTATGAAGCATCTTAAAGAGAAAGTATGTTAATTTGATAGGATTCAAGACTTAAATCAAGTATATTAGCTTGAATTTAATCTATAATTGACCCATTCAATTTAGTTTTTACTAATTAATCAAAGTTTAATTTAACATATTAAGAATTGAAGCTAATTTGATTTAGTAAAGTAGCCTAAAACTTAGGATATTGCTTGTAAGTACATAAAGTAAATGTATATTCAAAATTTTTGCATACAAAATCTTATTCAATTTTACAATTTTTTGAGCAGCCATCATTGTCTATAAAATTTTTATCATCACATTCTTCATCATCCTTCAAAATTCCATCTCCGCATATTGATTTACATTAATTTTCCATTTATGACAATGCATAACTTTCATTGCATAATATGCACTAGCCCTATTGGCATAATTAACAATTATTTGAGCACTCGATCTCACATTTATAGCATCCATCATAAGGAATATCATTCATATCATCACATTATTCTGAATTAGTAACTATTCCATCTCCACAGACTTCCTGGCATTAATTACCAATAAACTAATAACCATGCTCACAATCTTTTTAACAGATACCTTCATTACAGAATTCACAATCTAATTCACATTAATAAAAACATTAAAAGCATCCATCATAAGGAGTTTGATTCATATCATCACATTATTCAGAAATAGTAATTATTCCATCTCCACAGACTTCCTGGCATTAATTATCTATAATTTAATAACCAGTTTCACAATCTATTTAACATACACCTTAATTACAGAATTCACAATCTAATTCACATTAATACAAACATTAAAAACATCCATCATAAGGAATATCATTCATATCATCACATTATTCAGGAATACTTATTATTCCGTCTCCACAGAATTGTT